TTTTCACCTCCCTTCCCGAACTTCGAACTCGTAGTGACCATTGGATTGTTTATTTTGACTCCATTTTTCTAACATTTGCGTTTGAACCCGATGATGCCTTTGTGGTTCGAGCGTCTTTGATTTTGAAAACAAGGGGGGGGCATTGCACAGAGCGCACGGAAAGATAACCTTCAGCAGGCCCGGGCTGGGCTGGGCTGGGCTGCTCTGCTCTTCTCAAGCTTGTAAGAGTTGTAGTTGTTCGGAACTTGCCTCCCCAAGGTGGGTGGAGTTCTCGACCTCCCTGCCCCCTCTTCAAACAGTTGGTGACCGACCATTGGTTTATTTATTTTGATTCCAGTTTTTCCTTTTCGCGTTGGAAGTTAGGGCCCGATGACGTGACGCCGTCGAGTGAGCGAGGTTTGCGCATCTTTGAAGTTGCAAAGGAGAAGGGGGGCCAAAGGCTGGGCCCAAAAAGCTTGAAGGTCATTCACCCGGTAAGAGGATTGAATCCAACCCTGGCCTTTCTTTCCGACTCTTCGGGTTCCTTTTCGTTAGTTGTTGGTCCGTCAAGATATTTTTTTGGGGAAGCCACAGCTGTGGTTGCTGACACAAACGAGAGAGGAGAGAGCGTCAGTGGCTGGCTCATCAGCGTTTCCTCTCTGTGTCTGAGGGTTTCGGGTTTTGGACTTACATACTGCAGACATTCTAACTCTTGAATTTTCTGTTTAGGATGCTATCCCTGTATCAACAACCTCTATAGCTTGTTGAGAGAAAGGCAAGGCCTCCTGCGGCCTTTGTAATTTTTTAATCCATTATTTGAATCAATTTGAGAGCTTTTGATCTGGTGTTTGGAAGAGCAGACAGATCCGGAGCAGCATCTTTCAGTAGTCAGTAGGAGGAAATCAGACAGAGATAGAAGGAAATGAGGAAGGTGTCATGTGATGGTGGTGGTGGGTTTCTTCACTGGCACATTTCTTCAATTTGATTCATTATTCGGTTTGACGGCACAGCTGTTTGTGTATGTGCACCTATATGCCTGTCATTGCCTGGAATTGGCATTGTCGATGTCTTTGCAGTTCTGCAGGAACGCTCATCTTTTGTATGGTTGTTTCCTTTTCTTCCGGAAGGCCATCTTTTTCTTTTGTATTTGTTTCTTTTTGTTTCCTTTTTGAAAGGGGGCCGGGCTCCTGCCCTTGGCATTTCATCTTTGAACTGGCTGGCCACAGGTGATTCAGAATTATTTTGTTCTGCTCATCTGATTGCAGTCATCTGGATGCAAACTTGGGTCTGTATTTCAAACAAGTTTCAACAGTTGATGGGTGTACCGAGTGAGCGAGCTGGGCCCATTGGCGAACCCCAACTTCTTTTTGCCTTTCCTTGATGAAGCATGGATGTTCCTCACATCCGGATGATTATTTGAAAGCCAACAAGAGTCACGACCATCCACTGTCTTCTGTACTTTGTTGTGCAGCGAGCCATGGATTGTCATACTGTGATGTATATTCTCATCTCCCTTAAACCCCGTTACCTACTACTCCTGCCCTTTTACAGGTGGTTCATTGGATTGAGTATCCAATGGTGAAAGGTCTCTTTTTCTCGGTCAGAGAGGTGTTCTTGGTCCGAACTTCCAATAGGTAGTGATCATGTAGAGGGGGGAGGGGAGGGGGGAAAGAAGGAAGTGGGCAGAGCAGATAGACGAAAGCAAAACCAAATGAGCACAGTGCATCTCATCAGAGAAGTCAAACGCTGTTGCCACCATAAAATACGAAGTAGAATCGGAACATGACGAAGGGTAAGAAGAAGAACAAGATACAAAGAGGAGATGGGCAAGCTCGATGAGGAAGAGGAGGAGAGTTTGCAATGATGATGATGACGACGATGACGATGTGGAGGTCGTAGCAATGAAGAAGAAGAATTTGTAAAAAATTGCAAAATCGAGGCCAATCTCTCAGCGTCTATGCTTCCAAAGTGAGCATCACAGCACCTTCACGACATGCCAAGCTCACAGAAGTTACACATTGCAAGATGTGTTTGGCCTAGTTGCACTCCGGACTTATCATCATAGGGCATACGGCACGCGTGCATCCAGCTCACCATCCACCTGAGCAAGAGGGAAAATGTGCTTCCCGGCATTTAGTCTCAGCACTTAGTCTCAAGTTACGTGTGCTTCTTGGCACTTAGTCTCAAGTTAAGTTTGCTTCTTAGCACTTAGTCTCAAGTTAAGTGTGCTTCTTGGCACCCAGTGTCATCACATCACGGCCAGACGCTTGCAAGACAATAGCAGCTAAATGAATCTGCACATCTAGCTCCCCCCACAGCTGAGGTTACAGGATGGCGCTACACATCCCGGCATTAGCCCGACGTCCTCCACCGTGCAAGAACGGATTCGAACCGGCGACCTCGGCCTCAAGAGCCTGCAAGGCTGTAGTGTCCAACTCAACACACACCACACACAACACCACACGGACAATAGGTCATCTGGAGGGGTGCTTCATTTTTTTCGCTCTTCGGCTATCAGTTTTTTCCTGGATTGCGATTTTGGTGGTTGTCTTCCTTCATCTACCAATGTTCCAGCAGTTGGAATTCCATCTCATTCCCATGCAGTGGCAGTTCCTGGGTGAAAAGCCTGTTGTGCTTGGTATCCTCGGCATTATAGTTGCATTCCAGGGAGCGTTCGATGTTATGAATCAAGGGTGCTTCAGACTTGACCTGAGTTTTTCTGTCATGCTGGCAAGGATCCTTGCCTTTATCAGGCTGTATGTGTGGATGATGTTCACCATGAGTCCATGTATCTGGACATCTTTGTGTCCATGGATGGATGCATGTATCTGGACATATGTGTGTCCATGGATGGATGATGCATGTATCTGGACATATGTGTGTCCATGGATGGATGGATGGATGCATGCATGCATGCATGCATGTGTGTCTGTGTCTGTGTGTCTGTGTGTCTGTGTGTCTGTGTCTGTGTGTCTGTGTCTGTGTCTGTGTCTGTGTCTGTGTGTCTGTGTGTCTGTGTGTCTGTGTGTCTGTGTGTTTGTGTGTCTGTGTGTCTGTGTGTCTGTGTGTCTGTGTCTGTGTGTGTGTGTGTGTGTCTGTGTCTGTGTCTGTGTGTCTGTGTGTCTGTGTGTCTGTGTGTCTGTGTGTTTGTGTGTCTGTGTGTCTGTGTGTCTGTGTGTCTTTTCAAAATAGGCGGTGTGCAATCCAGGACAAGCCACAATGAAGAGTACATGTACGATTTTTTGGGAAAACCTGTCACAGTGATCTCTTTTCATAACGTACCCTGCAAGGAAATGAGCAATGCGAATGACGAAAAACACAGATTGCAGCACTCCATAGCAATCTAGATAAGCCCAAACTGAAAGCAGATTGCCAGCCGAGACAACACCAAATAAGTATGAGCAAAGCATTGAAGTCAAATGATCATGAAAGCCCTTTCCTCGCCTCCGATTACCAATGTCAACAATGTAGCTCTTCTGCATTGGCGCTCAGCGCCCAGACTAAACAGATAGCTCCTTACACCTGGACCCCTATCTACAACAGGTCGGCTATGATTCGCCCAATCAACACTTGAAGACTCCGTGAAATCAGCCCGCTTCCCCTTCACCAGGTGACAGCCTCATTACATCGCCCCCTCTCCCTGACTTCCTCCACAGTCCCCTCTGCCCAGGACCACTGCCTTCCTTGCACCGCGCCAGTGCCCTTCTCTCCTCTTGTCTGGGCTCATCCGCATGAGTAAGCACTCCAGCAGCGCTGCTGTGCCCTGCCAGGCAGAATGTCTGAAGTGAGATGGTCTCGCTCCCTTTTGTGCTGGCTGCGAGGCTTGCAGCCTGGCTGGACTGGCTGTGCCCTGTCCGAGTACTTGCGCCCCGGTCCCCTTCCGGCATGTGCCTGGGGCCTAACTGTCTGATCCCTGGGCCTCAGCATCTTCAACCACCTGGGGGGTGGACCTTGCCGGTTGGTTGAAGATGCTGCCTGCAGCAACTTCCCACGGGGCCTCCATTTTTGGCTCACTCAGGCCTCACGCAGGCCAAGTCCAAATTCTTGAGGCTCACCTTCACTTAGGGCAGGTACGACCTTTCTGAAACACTTCCGAGGGGCGCAATCCTCGCAACCCTGTCAAAACACACAAAAATTATATTCGTTTGGCCATTAAGTGAATCTGTTATGCTTATTACCAGAAACACAAGATATTATGAACACCTTTGTGGGTTTCATGTGACTTTTGTCAACCATCCTTGCCTGCATCAGGCTCTATGTTTGGATGCTGTTGACTATGCATCCATGTGTCCACACATGTGTGTCTGTGGATGCATAGTATGCATACACGCGCGCGCGTGTGTGTGTGCGTGTGCGTGTGCGTGTGCGTGTGCGTGTGCGTGTGCGTGTGAGTGTGTGTGTGTCTGTGTGTGTGAGTGAGCGAGCGAGTGAGTGAGTGAGTGATGGGGGCCGAAGCCTTGACGATCATATTGCGGCGAAATGCACTGAAAAGTGCACACATGAAAGACTCAAAAGAGGTGGTGTGCAATCCAGGACAAGCCACAATGAAGAGTATTATACGAAGAGCTAGAAAGATGCAATCACTTCCCGTACCATTCAAACCTCCACTTTCTTATAGTGAGAAACAACAACTGATCACAAGGCAGCGAGGGAAAAGGTTGCAAAACACAATGCCGCGAGGAAAAGGCTGCAAAGCACAAGGCAACGAGGGAAAAGGCTGCAAAGCACAAGGCAACGAGGGAAAAGGCTGCAAAGCACAAGGCAACGATGGAAAAGCACAAGGCAGTCGTGGAGCACAGATAAGGTAGTCCACACATCCAACACAAGGCAGTCCATGTGTCCAACGCAGTACATCACCTACTCACACGACTAGTGAACCCCACAGACTGTGGGCTCCCACTACCCGCTGAGCTGGCTAGTCACTCCGAGGAACATCAGCCATCACCCATAGGATACATGACCATTCCGAACCGAGCAGTCCCCCTAATACCGCTGCAGGCACTCCGGAGGAGAAATGACCAACTATTTGGCACTGCTTAGAGGTGCTCACTTCAACACAGAGCAAATGGACCTGCCAGGCTGCCACAACAATGCCGCGGCCCACCAGAGGGGATGAGAGAAGATGATGGAGGAGAGGCGAAGAGCGAAATGGAGGGGAGGGCGGGAAAGAGGAAGAGGAGGATCGTGTGCAGCTGATGGCATGGAAAGGAAAACAACAATGCTACACCCGCGGCACATCTCTTCCTGCCCCCCATCTCTCTCAGGGGAAAAAAAGGGAAAACGGAATCCCGATGTTTGTCCCTGCTCCTCCCGATCCTCCTCCTACTCTGCCCCTTGTCCTCCCTTTCCTCCTACTCTGCCCTTCGTCCTCCCTTTCCTCCTACTCGTCTTGCTTCCGGTCCTCCTCCCATTCCTCCTCCCACCCGTCGTCTTCCCCCTCCTCCTCGCGCTCCTGCCACTCCCTCCTGTTCGTCGTCCACCTTCTCCCGCTCATCGTCGTCTCCCTCCTGCTTGCATTCCTCCCTGTGGTTCGTTGTCCTCCCCATCCTCCTTCCACTCCTCCTCCCCTCATCACCCTGCTCCTCCTCATAGCGGTCCCCCTCCTTCCACACTTCCTCCCGTTCATCGTCCACCTTCCTCCCACTCGTTGTCTTCCCCCTCCTCCTTACACTCCTCGTGCCACTTGTTCTCCTCCTGTTTGTTGTCCTCCCCTTTTTCCTCCTCCCCTCCTCCCACTCATCATCCTGCCCCTTCTGCCTCTCCTCCTCCCATGCCAAATGGAATGAATCTTCTGCTGCAACATGAGGAGATGCATGGTCATAATTGTCTTCCTGTTCGTCATCCTCCCTGTCCTTCTCCTTCCCCTCCTCCCGCTCGACGTCCTGCCCCTCCTCCTCCCGCTCCTGTGCGAAATGGAGTGAACTTTCCGCTGAAACATGGGGAGATGCACGGCCATATTTTTCCATCTTCGTGTTTGTCTTCCTTCCCTCCTCCTTCCCCTCCTTTCCCACTCGTCAGCCCACCCCTTCTCCTCCCGCTTCTCCTCCTGTGCAAAATGGAAAGAATCTTCCGCTGCAACATGGAGAGATACATGGCCATTTTTTTTTGTCTCCCAGTTCGTCGCCCTCCTTGTCTTCGTCCTTCCCCTCCTCCCGCTTGTTGTTCTCCTCCTGTTCGTCGTCCTCCCCTTCCTCCTCGCACTCATCATCCCGCCCTCCTCCTGCACAAAATGGTATGAATCTTCCCCTGGAACATGGGAGGTACACGGCCATATTTTTGTGTCTTCCCTGCATGTTCTGCTGCTGTTCGTCGTCCTCCACATCATCCTTCCCCTCCTCCCGCTTGTCATCCCTCCCCTCCTCCTGCTCCTCCTCCGGTACAAAGTGGTATGAATCTTCCGCTGGAACATAGGAGATACACGCCCATACTTTTTTGTCTTTCCTGCATACGGTGAGTAGCGGGGCTGGCGGGTGGCGAGCGATACAGCGAGGCCCCGGTCGTGCTATCATTGCTATGCACTTGTATTTGAGCATCGATGTGAGCCTGGGCGGAAACATGCATGGCCAGGCCCTCAAAAGAAAATAAAAGACTTGCGAAACGATGTTTGCTATGTCCTTGTATTACAACATTCGATACTTCACGATTGCAGTCCTGCCCAAACGCTGCTCGGCCCACCGGGTCCACTCCTTCCGCAATTTTTCATGCGCCAGTGGAAAGCGTTACGCGAGGACCGCTTTTCGCTTTAGGAAGTATATATAAGAGGAGGGGGATGAACCGGGGGGCGGGGCTGTTGTTGTCGCACTGCTTGGCCATGTTGTGTCGAAGACGGGCGGGCACACGGCTTGTTCCATGGATTTGTCATTGTCGAGGTTTTCTCTTGATGGTTGGAGACGCTCTGTGTTGCACTGCACTCATTGTGGAGTCGATGGAGTCAGCGTCTTGGGGGGGGAGATCGGACTTGGAGGCATGCCATGGCTTGTCGGTTGATGTCTGCGTGATATGCAGGGAAAGGTGGGAGAGGGATTTGTGCTTGCCGATGGTGGAGCATGATGAGTTCATTGAGATATTTTGTAGTGGGCAGGGGATGCTGTACATGGTGAATGCGTGGCGGGATGCAAGGAGGTCGTGGATGGTTGCTGTGGCGTGGACTTGTCCTTGGGGCTCGAGGGGGCGCCACCATTGCGGGTCGGTTTCGGCAGAGCACGGAAGAAGTCGGGGTGGTGGTGGTGGTGGTGCGGATGCAATGAATGTTTAGTGGTGGTGGGCAGCTGTGATGCGGAGGTATTGATATTCTGGGCGGTCGGGGCGTGGGAATGAAAGGTGGGTATAGTCGTCGTTGGTGATGCGTAGGAATGATTTTGCTTGGGCAAATCTCGTGTTTGTAGAGGGGGAAGGTGGTGGGCGGCATAGTCTGTGTATGAGGTTGTCTTTGTAGATGGCAAAGAAAGTGTAAAGATGTGGGGAGAAGGCTGTGTGGTCAGTGGTGAGGAAATCCTCCCAGAGAATCTGATCAATGATGTGTTCAATGTTATCACGGTTGAGGAGAGGGATCCAAGTTTCCTATGCAGGTGGCTGGGAATGGTGGGGAAGTGGTGGAGGGAGTGGCGTCCGCAGAACGGAGGACAACTGCAGTTGTAGAATGCGGTGGTGGTATGGGAATTTGTCCGAGGATATTGTCGTTGAGGTTTATCTGTGAGAGCGATTGTGTTTGTGTAGTGGTGGTTTGTGTTTGTTGAGTGGCTGTTTGTTGATTGGAGGGAGGTGGTTGTGAGGCAAGTTGTTGTGTGTAGGCAGTCGATGTTGTTGTGCGAGTGTTCGCTGGAGTGTTGTGTGTGGGTGGTGGAGTTGTGGCAGCTGGGGGTTGTCGTGTCCAGGAGTTGTTGTTGAAGCTTTGGTTCTTTTGGGAGGTGGGATGTCTGCATGGGAACCTGCAAACCACACTGGGGAAAGGGATGGTCAGAATGTGGCATCAGAGGATTTCTTTGTAGACAATATTGTTTGTTAGATCGCTAGGAGAGTGTAGGGAAAATCGAATGTATGCACAGTCGCCCACTTGAGAGGCAGCGACGTATGGTTGGCCATGTGCGAAGCATGACTGTTGTAGGTTTATTCCTACATGTTTGATGGACTGGCCTTGTGATTTGTCAATCGTGATAGCGAATGCAGGGCGGACAAAGAATTGACGCCTTTGTCATGGGAAGGGAGTTGTTTGGTCAGTGACGAAGAGGAGGACGCATGGGAGGAGAACGGGTTCCAGTGTTGGAAGTTTGTAGGCATGGAGGAGCTTGCTGTTTGTGATGGAGTTGAAAATCAGTTGTGTACCGTTGCAAAGGCCGTTTCGCATTGCAATGTTGCGCAAAAGTATGACTGGTGCGCTTTCTATCACACGAAGCATGTGAGTGGGGAGGGAGGGGATGTCGATTGTGTTGAGCGCATCGATTGAGATGTCGGGGTATTCATCATTGAGGAGGGAGTCAGCATCGAGCGATGTTATGGAAGGTCCAGGGAACTGGTCAAGGATGACAGAGTTCAGCATTGCGACTGTTTTGTTTTGGGGTGATAGTATGAGACGGTCCGCCAGCCATGACGGGTTTTGAGCATTAGTTTGGAGGTCGGGGAATATCCATTGAATGAGGCCTGGGATGCCAGAGTGGACGCCGAGGTATGCGGGGAGTTGAACAGTCGTCGGTGTTGCCTTCGGTGGAGGTTGGAGTGTGTTATTGCCGAGGTTAAGCAGCCATTGAGCGTATTCATGACCTTCAGCAGTGTTGACTTGGGTCACGACACGCATGTTTTCAGAAAGACGGAATGTTTCGAAATGATCTCATATGTGTGATGTTGTTAAGCAAGCGTTTATGGTTTGTTCGCATGTACCTTTTGTTGTGACTGGGAGGATCTATCTGAAATCACCCACAACAACAATGAATTTACTGCCGAATGACAAGTTGCATGAGCAAATGCCACGCAATGTTCCGTCGAGTGCCTTGAGGTGATACTTGTGAATCATCAGTGCTTCATCCCAAAGGATGACAGTTGCCATGCGGATGAGATCAGCGAGGGATGACTGTTTGGATATGTCAAGTACAAATGTAGGCGTTGGAGTGAGTGATGCTTTGAATCGTGAATGGAATGTGCGACCGTCGTCAAAAATGTTGCGGCGATGCTGGTGGATGCAACAACAAGTGCAACGCGATTTTCGTTTCGAAGGAATGCGAGAATTGTGTTGAAGCAAAAAGTTTTGTCAGTGCCACCGGGAGCATCGATGAAAAGGCAAAGCGATAGAGCATTCATGGGGGCGTTTAGAATGCGCTGAAAGACAGCATGTTGTGAGGGTAAAAAAAGTGGCAGATATCTTGCGAGTGTACGTTGTAGAGTTGGTTTGTCATAAAAAATTTCAACCTCGGTCACTCGAGGAATGTGATGTAGGTGGGCTTTGAGCGTGGATGTCGGCGTCGTTGCACGTGTGGTCATCGGGCGGAATGAGGCCGACGTATTCAAGGTCGTTGCCTTTTTTTTAAGGCGGTTTTAGATATCGATGAGAACCAAAGTTTTGAGCATGGAGGTTGTGATCCACGGGGGTCAGAGGTATCTGCGGAAGTCATCAAGCATTTGTTCCCTGTGTGTGTCAAAGAGCAAGATAGGATCAACGGGGCCACAGTGGAGGGGAATGTGGACAAAGAGATCTCGAACTATTGGTGAAAAAACATTGAGAATTGCATCGTGAAGCACAGCGGCAAATTGGGTGTTATCATTAAGCAGACCGAGTGCGCGATAGTCAGATTGGTATGTAGGGTGAGTATGGCAATCGACAGTACGGAGGTGCTCGAATGAAGTAGCGCCTAGAGAGTGCGGTGATTGAAGGAGCATTCTAAGATAGAATGGATCACAGGCATTAGGGTGGACTGTGTGCATTCGGCCGATTGCGTTTTCAGCGCGGCAACAGAGAATGCTATGTTTTGTTTGTTTGTCAAATCAAAATCCCTTGATCATATCTTTGTAAAGTGTTTTATTGTCAGCAGCGATGTCGGGTTTTTTAAGTTTTCATTTGAATCATGCAGTGAGCTCTGTTTCAGGTGTTGGTTTTCATGCAATGTGATTTGCTTGGTGTTGGCGAAAGAATACATGTTGTCGGTTCTTTGTATGAACAGGCAGCGCACAGACAGTCGGGTAGCGCTCGGATAGAAGGAACTCAAAAATTTGTCAACGTGTTTCTGCAACGCCGATTGTTCGCATATCTTGGTACACTTGTATGTCATCGTTTGTGTTTGTCATCTAGTCAGCTATGGTGTGGTGTCGCACTTTTTCTAGTCAGGCCACTTCTGACGACCAGAAAACCAATAGATTGTCACGCAAGATTTTGAAGACTTTTACAATAAGTAAAAAAATAAATAAAGCATCCCTTCCTGTTGTGTGCGTCCGACTTCAAGCGAGACCCTTCAATTATGGTCTACGTCGGTCCTCGGTCTTAGAAATATTTTATTATGATTCGGAACAACAATGATCATGCAAATAAGAATTATAAAAATTATGTATGTCATGCATATACCAAGTTTGCCAATTTAGAAATTTGAGAATTGTAACAAGATCAAAAGAGAGTATAATCTCAAACAATGTCAATGCAAGTAAACAAGACTAACGGACCTGAGGCAAAGATAAAATGAATGAAGGAAAGTGAGAACTCATAATAATCTCGGAAAGTACAAATGAATAGACATGGTCAGCAGTCGTCAAGAGTCCTTACTCATCCCTCTCAAGTCTCATCTCAGATCTCTCATTTGACTATGTGTCTCTTGTGCTTTGAGCCACATCTATATACCTCCGAGATTGTGGCTTAGATATATAGAGCCACTTAAAGCCTACACGTTCCACATACGTTCATCGAAGGCCAAGGATACGGAAGTCAAGCATAGCACATAATTCCTCCCACAGAGTAGAAAAATATGGTTTGGAGAAGATCCCTCGTCTAAGATGTCAAAACTCTAAGGGTTCCGTCACTGCCTCGTAGTCAATCTGTGTAGGGGAGATATATCTCTTGACCAAATTAACCAAGTCACTCTTACAAGAACCATCTATGAGAGTAAAAGGGACTAGAGGCCTATGATAATCAATGTAGAGTTTGGGTCTAAAGCTATGGATCAACTTTGTGTCACTTTGATCAAGCTCTCTCTCCCTCTCTTCAAGATGTTTGGTTGTTGAAATCCCGACCGAATCAAAGTGCTTATGAGTGTCCTGACCTTTCTTCACATAGATTCTCCGGTCATGAATAATACCTTATGCAAACTTAGTGAGAACCACAAAAATTGACAGGTTTTCTTACCTGAAACCGACTGCACCGACATATCGGTATCGAAAGGCATCCTTAAAAGTTATCTTGTTGAGACCGGTCAAGACATTCCGATCAATACGAAGAGAAACAAGGGTACTTATGTGCTGAGAAGACTAGTGGAATTGAACGGACTGATGAGGGACTGTAAATGATTAATGCGATACTGATGAACTTTTCACTGTCTGTATACCTTTCATAAATACTAACAGATTTATACTGATCTGAGAGAGAACTGATAATGATAGAAAAGCAACATATCTCAATCGAGGATTACTGATGATGTCTTAGATGATTGGAAGTTGTTGAGTGTTTAGTCACTGGTCGCTGACCATTGACAACATAATGCTGAGGAAACTGACTCTGAGTAGTAAGGTCTTTTGAGAGAGAGATATGAAAGTAGTTGTTCTTATCGGAGCTTCGCTCCGACCTGTTCAATAGTCTCTAAAGATGAACCAGTGTCGTATGTCTAAGTGTTTTCGACTTGCTTGATCTTTCTTGCTAGTATGCATTGTATATCACCCAAAAAACATTATTCTTTCTCAACTCCTGTTATTTTCCTTCAATTGAAATCTCGAACAATTTTGTAATGTTGAGGATAAATGGTTTTATTACGGCTTCACACTAACTCTTCCTTTGTTGGTTGCTTATGTTGAAAATACTAGAATGGATCTAGGGATCATAGTAACTCAATGATAATTATTGACATTCTTTCTAGCTCAGATGACGGTCTCAAGGGATGAAGAAGTACTATGTATTTTCTCATCTTGTCCATTAAAGTAGAACACGTACTCAATGAGTTTTTATCCTTTTACTATCTCAAGCGCTCTCTTCCTTATCAACTTCACATAAAACTGAATGTCCTTATTGACTCTTTCTTCCCATCCCTCTACTCTGTCTCGATAGAGAGAACATGGAATCACTAACGTATTTTAACAATACACAACTTTTCCATCTTGCTTCATTAAAAAATTTATTTGTTTGTCTTACAATCTTACTTAACAATTGAGGATGTTGTCGAGATCACTCTGCTCTCTGCTAATAAAATCAACAGGAACTTTCCGCTATATTCTCTTACTAAATTCTACAGTTAATGACCTTTTATTCGCTTCCCAAGAATCATCCCTCTGTTAGGGTTCTCAAATGGGTTGTTTGCTATAAGAGTTCCCAAGGGACTAAGTTCTACTCTCCCCTTCTCCCAGAGAAGGCAGAGGAGTTTCATTTCAGGTCCTGTTCTTAACATTATGCGACCGAGTGAAACATCAATTTACTGCCAATTGCATTTTGTACCCAAATATTGTAGGGGGTATCCTTTGTGGCAATCACAACCAAGATATTTGCAGAGAATATCACATAATACTCCAACGATACTAAGGTGGAGAACCACTGATTACAATACAGTCAAATAGAGGATCTCAGGTTAAGTTTCTTGCTCATACATACACCATATCAGCCGCTAATTAAAGTCTCTGCTTGTTTAAAATTTTGGGTACCGTTTGTTACAACTCTAGATACAAAATTTTTAGTTGATCACAACTTCGTTGACTGATTAGATGAATGTCCCAATTCGGATGCTACAAGCAGTCACTTACGGTAGCTTCAGTTTGGAGAACTATGTAAAATACCACTCTCACCTTGTAAAATACATCATGTGTCGTTGTAGTTACCTTTGTTTGTTCGTAGTGTAAAGTACAGTACATGCCTCCTTCAGGCAGAATACCTCACATGTTACTACCGTCCTTCTGTTTTTACAGTCCCGATCCGTAATGATGCAACAATCACTAACAGAAAAAATTCCAAGAATTAAATAATCATTCTATAGTAAAATTACATTCTAAATTTTAATTTTTCATTCCATCTTCAAAAATGTCATTCCAATTTCAAAATTTTTCGTCTTACTTTAAGACTTTCCTTCCAAGAATGGGGTATCCTTTCTTATTTGAACTGCATGTTAGATATGGAATGAAAGTCTGGATGAGTTCATGAAATATTTTAATTGAACTGTTATTATAAGTAAGGATTTTCAGTCATAAATAGGTTAATCCAATCCAAATTAGAAGATATTTGTTGTAATAGAATGAAATTTTAATTAAAACATTTCATAAACTCGTCCAGACTTTCATTCCATCTTGAACAAATAGATGTAGTTGGAAGGGAAAGTTCATATTTAGATGAGAATTTATCAAGTAAAACTGTAAATTGTAGAATTGGACGAACATTGGAATGATAATTCATAAATATGAAGAATTTATTTTGTAGGGAATGTTTTTTTAACTTTTTTTTCTTGTGGGAATTTTTCTGTTGACTTATACATATTGTTTTTGTCCATATATAACACGGGGAATAGACATGTGCAACTTTTACTCGTATATAAAACATAATTGCTTCAAGGTTTCATTTGAATACTACATGGAGCAAATCAACGTTATGCATGCTCATTCGGGAGTTGATCAAAAGTTCGCTACTCAAGCTCACATTTCACCACCAATTCTCTTTATAGTTGCATGTCATTGAGATCTTCATTGACTGTTGTTAAGTCATCCTTTGAAAGACTTGTAAAATCTGTAGTTTTCTTGAGCCCGAGGTAGCTAATTGTTCCCCAAATATGGGTTGTTGCACAATCGCAGGGAACATATCTAAATTATTGCAGAGCACGAATTTGGCTACTAACTGTTGACAAATATGGATTGTGGCCCCCTTTTGAACAGAGCACGTAATGCCACCAACTCATATGGTTAGGTGCACGCCATCAGAGGTTACCTCTCTCGTGACGCAAACGATATACTATTGGAATAGACCCTGTTCAAGTTACATGTGGGTACTGCTGATTATACCGTGAAGTAGTCTTGAATAATTTGTAGGATATCACTATTGACAAATTTGTTCGAAGGCACCCAGGTTACTGCTAGTAATGAACGTTTACTGATAATCTGCTTGTTATGCACATAGTAATAGGTCATTATCAAACACAGCTCTCGCTCATATAGTCATAAGTCGTTACCCGCAGTTAACACTAAGTTGCGAGAATGTCTCAGAATGTGGTTGATCCTCCCCTTTTTAATCACCATCAAACACGTACTTGGCTAGGAGATAGGCAATCTTCCTCAATAAAACTCCCTTCTTGCGATTAAATAATTTTCCGTCAAATTGTTAAAACTAACAATATTGATTTTAAAAGCTCGGCTCCTCCGGAGAATTGAGTTGTGTTACTTATCTTTGACTTGCATGCTAAAGCGCAGTTGACGAATGTAAGAAAATTATGCTTATCATCTAGCATACGAAATTCAATTATTATCTAGGCTGTCAGTTGTCCGATGGGGAGAACTCTCCCCCAGACAGTCAGGGGGGAGTTGTCCAGAAAATCGGATAACTGTTTTTTTACAAAAAAAAAAAAACGAAAAACAAAAAAACAAACGGGGGGGGTTTTACGCACTACTAGGAGACCCCTCGAAAAAAAATTCAGGTTGTTCTAAAAACGAAAAAAAAAATCAGATACGGTGGATGAGGTGTGATGCTGGGGTGTCAGGGGGCGTGGATTGCTTGGGGAGTTCAAATGGAGGGTCCGTTGCTGCAGTCAGCAACTGCTGCACTTTCAGCGACTGCAACTGCTTTGTCTAACGCAACGTGTGGACCATCTGCTCTGGCAGATGCAGCAACTGCAGTGACAGCGACATCCACACACACACACACACACACACACACACACACGCGCGCGCGCGCGCGCGTGCACACACGCATTCTATACACACATAAACACAACGAGTGACACACACGTGAGCATAGATACACACAGTCACACACACACACACACACACAATCTACTCGCACACACACACACACACACACACACTGTCTGCACACACACACACACACTATGTACACACACACACTATGTACACACACACACTATGTACACACACACACTATGTACACACAAACAAATGCATTGTTTACGCACACAAACACACACCGACACCCACACGCACACACACACACACACACTCACACTGGGAAGGAAACAGTAGCAAGGTCACAAAAGTCTCCCAAAGTAAGAGATGAACAGACATAACCAGTTCTCATAGTACTGCAAAAAGGGGGATAGCTACAGACCTGGTTTCAATATGATCTTTTGCACCTCAGATTAGGATGGAGACGTCTGTGATTGATAGAAGTTTCTGCTTTGCCGACAGTTAATCCCCCTTCTAGAGTGAGAAGCATTCAATTATGGACTGCATATAATGTGTTTTTTTGTTGTGCAAAAAGGATGTTCGACCCGTTTTTCAGCAAGTGTTGCTTCCTAGTAATGTATAGGAACTCCTTTTTTCTGTTATGGAAAAAAACAAAACACCAGAAGGGTTTCATCAAGTGGATACGAAAAGTTAAGGGTGTTTTCAATTCTATTTTTTTAATTTGATAAAGAATTTCGATGTAACCCCAAGTTAAAAGTTGTTTAGTTTATTTTTTTGGTTCACATAGTTTTGTTTCGGATTTTGTTGATTTAAAAAAAAAAAAAAAAATTTGGCCATTCGGGCTTCGGAAATTTTGCCCGGGAAGGACGTCCGACCAGTTGTCCGATCAATCAACCCCGTACGGTCAGGGGGGTCCCGGGCGTCCAATCTAGTAACATAGATTACTATCATTGTTTCATTAATGATTGGCTCATGAGCATTATTATGAGGAGAGCGCATGATATTGCCCAACACTGACTCCCTTCAAAACAAATGGAAAGGAAATCAATGGTGTCACCCAAGAAAGAAAGGAAATTTAAGAGAGAAAAGTCAGGCATATCAACAAGTAAGGGTCAAATCTCCTTATCTGACTGGCTCGATCACAAATGTCCCAATGGCTTTTTGATGGGTTTTCCTTACCAATATTTATGTATTTGTTTGCACGCCGTCGATTATCCAAAACCTCGCTGACAATCTTCCGTCACAGGGATCAGGGCTAACATCGCTTGTGACTATATTCGAATTATTTTCACCTGCTATTGTTGACTTAGATGCTCAACCCGAGATCATGACATACGCGTACAAGGTCGTGATCACGCCTACATAAGTGCCTTTGATCCTGGCT